TATTTACTTGTATATCAGTGGCCTTCCTCAGATCATTTTAACAGTTTGGCTCTGTCAATCTAACCTAATAATCAGTTGTTATTTAATAATCCATATTTTAACTTCTTTTTTTTTAAATTAAAAAACAAACTATATTTTTAATCAAATTACTAGGAAAATATGCCATAGTCTTGAGCAGATGTATATTTGAATTGCCTCCAGTATAAAGAGAACAAGGTCCTTTACAACACAATGACATGGCTAGGCTATGTGCAACATGTTCAGAAAGCCCTACCAGACAATAACTGGGTAACGGCAACAGCTGCCTCCTCAATTCTGTAAGAGCAAAAGTTGTCATTTGCAACCCGCCTCACTCTAATGAAGCTTAAGTTGTCTTTCTACCCTTTGTTCTCAGAGGGTTGCTTCAACAAGTCATTTCTATTGAAGAGGGCCAATTAACAATACCAGCATCACATATTACATCCTGTTCTACTTTAGGAAAAACTACTTTTCCCTAGGCTAGTTATCTATTACTCCTTTAAGAAAGAGGCTTAAAGTTAGTATACAAAATAAAAGAGGCTTTTGCTTACTTTAATACTATTGAACATGCTAAATCTCTCTCTCTCTCTCTCTCTCTCTCTCTCTCTATATATATATATATATATATATAATATATATATACATAAAATACATATATATATATATACACACACATATAACTATGATATACTATAATATATGATATGTAATAATGTATATAATACATGCTATAATATAAAATAATATACTATATTACATATACATATATGTATATGTATGTATATTATTTTGGGGGTTGTCCCTACAGAAACTTCTTACCACTCAATAAGTCAGAAAAAAATGCGGGAGAAAATAGGAATCACTATCATTTCTGAACATCTTGAAGGACTAACAATGTAGAAATCCTTCAGTGACCTGGTAGCCTAATAATGGAAAGTAAGAAGAAATACTATATAGCAATATATTATTTATATAGTAGGAAGCTTTTCAGAGTTCCTATCCAAAATGCCTTCTTTTACTCTGCTATTATTACCTTTTAATCTCAGGTTCTTACATGGAGGAAAAAAGGCCTATCCAATTATCTCCCTTTTTCAATTAGAAATAACCTCAGCATTTTTGTGATATATGAAAATGGTCCAATCATGTTCCTATTAGATATGACAACTGCATCAACTAAAAGTAATTGGCTGCCACAGGAACTCAAATCAGAAGACAGGGAGGTGGGGGAGGTGGGAAACTGCCATTAACCATAAATGAAAGGATACTTCAACCTCTCATGAATACAATACCTCTTGTGCACCTAAAAACCATTAAAACTACAATGATCCTACTAATAGGATGAGATTCAGGTTCTATAATCCTCCTATGCTACCTTCAATCCCTATTTTAGCACATTTTTTCCCATTTTTTCACCTAAAGGCTAAAGCATATAATGGAACCAATGGAATCTAAGGGGCTGATATGAAACTCCTATAAGATTATGCTTAAATTGTAAGCAGCCTCGATTTATTCATTCTTAAACTTAATCTCAAAAGTAAAAAGAAAATTAAATCCAAGCTCCTTTTAAAATATACTCATCTTCCTACCCTTGACAATCACTAACAATGACTCATTTCACAATAAATGACAGCAAATCTATCTTTTTGGCATGGCAACTATTTCAAGTTAAGGATAACTATATACCAAGACAGTTTTTTATTATACTTTTGGATATTTCTAAATGTTCAGAAATTTTTTCTATGCACAATACCTAATTTGCCTTGTTGCAACTTTTACTCATTGCTCCTGATTTTGCCCCTTAGGAGCAAGTAAAACAAGTTTAATCACCCTTTTAAAAAATATAGATTTTTTATATTTCACTAAATATAATTGAGCATGTATATACAGTTTCACTTTTTGAACCAATTCAAATGTGTGAGGTATATGCATTCCACCCTCTACCATTTCCCCCTCCACTGTAAAAGTTCTTCTTTGTATACCTCTTTTATGTGCGATAATTTTTCCCATTCTTCCTCCCCTTCCCTCTTTTCCCAGGGCGTCCCTCTTTCTCACCTAAATATTTTTTCTTACTTCATTCCAACATAATAAACTCATTCCTACCCCCCTTTTCTATGTAGAATCCTTCTGACTGCCTTAATAATGATAGAGTTCCTAGGAGATATATGTGTCATCCTCTCATATAGAAATATACACAGTTTAACCTTATTGAGTCCCTTTTGATTTCTCTTTCATGTTCACCTTTTTATGCTTCTCTTAAGTCTTATATTTGAAAGTCAGATTTTCTATTCAGCTCTAATCTTTTCATCCGGAATTCTTGAAAGTCCTCCATTTAATTAAATACCTGGTTTTTTTTTTCCCATTGAAGGATTATACTCAGTTTTTCTGGCTAGGTTATTTTTGGTTGTAATCCCATGTCTTTTGCTTTCCTGAATGTCAAATTCCAAACCTTCTGTTCTTGTAATGTACAAGCTGCTAAATCCCTGTGTGATTCTGACTGTGGTTCCATGGTATTTCAATGGTTTCTTTCTGGTGTCTTGAAGTATTTTCTCTTTAACCTGGGACTCTGGAATTTGGCCATACTATCCCTAGGAGTTTTCATTTTGAGATATCTTTCAGGTGGTGATCAGTGAATTCTTTCAATATCTATTTTACACTCCAGTTCTAGGATACTGCTATGGGGTCCCAAATGGGAAAAAGCCATAAAATACAGCAATAAGTGAAAAATCTATAAAAACTTAAACTCTATGAAAGGTGGAAGTCAGGACATGGTAACCTATTTACAATCATAACTTAGATACTGAATTATATTTTAGACACTGAGCCTTAAGATACTATGACCAAAGCCAAAAGAAGAATATTGTGACCTATATGTGACTGTGAGATGACCAATACAGAAACTTACATTTAGGTATAACACTGGCTTAACTCCCAAGCACATTACTAACCAGAAAACCAAAAATATCCACCAATTAGTAGTGATGTACTCTCTAGCTCCTCCTGCCATTCTTTCCTTTCCTGACTGCTTTCTATAATTACCATGGGGATTTTGGGGGTTTTTGCAAGGATCCACTGAATTGTCTAGCAGTTGCCTCAGATTGTCCCTGTTTTGCAAGTAATGATGGATTAAACTACCACCTATAATTAACATGGAGATATTTGGCCTCTTTCTTTGGTATCAAACGAACACCCCATGGTTATAGAGGAGGTACAGGATTCCCCAGCCAGGTGAATTCCGGATGTTACACCTGGAGATAGCTTTCCTTGATAATTTCTTAAAATATGGTATCTAGACTTTTTCTTTGACCATGTCTTTCAAGTAATCTAATAATTTTAATATTCTCACTCCTTTATCTATTTTCCAAGTAAATTGCTTTTCCAGGGACAATTTTTGCGTTTCCTTCTATTTTTTTTTCACTTTTTTGAATTTGTTTTGTTGTTTCTTGGTGTCTGATAGAGTCATTAACTTCCACTTGCTCTGTTTTGTTCTAATTTTTAAGGAATTATTTTCTTCAGTGAGCTTTTTTTACCTCTTTTTTTCAATTTGGCAAATTCTGTATGTTAAGGTTTTATTTTCTTCAGTATTTTTATGCCTCCTTTACCAAGCTGTTAACTGCCTTTTAATAATTTTATTCCTTAGCATTCTTTTTCATAATTTTTCTCTACAATTCTTATTTGATGTTAAAAATAATTTAGCTCTTCCAGGACTTTCTGTTGAGCTTGTGTCCAATTCACATTTTTTTTTCCTTTGAGGCTTTGATTGTAGCTGTTTTGACTTCATTGTCTTCTTCTGGGTTTGTGTCTTGATCTTCCCTGTCACCATAGTAGCTTTTTACAGTCAAGTCCTTTTGTTTTTGTTGTTTGTTCATTTTCCCAATCTGTTTCTTTATTTGGAACTTTATGTTAATGTTGGACTCTCTTCCTAGCATGAGGAGGGGAGGGGCTCTGTCTCAAGCTTCAGTTTTTGTTTTTGTTTTTGTTTTTCACACTGCTGTTTTCAGAGATAGTTATCAGGTTTTGTAAATTTTTGGTGCTTCCAAGGTGGTGTGATCTGGAGAGAAGTATGGTCACTGATCTCTTGGTCTGTACTCTAGTCCTTACCCAAGAAGAGCACCAGATCCCTTAGGATTGCAATTAATACTGCTCCTCAGGGCTCCTCCTCCTTTTGGAGCAGAAACTATACTGTTCATCAGGGTCCCTAAATCTTTGGGGCTGAAAGTGATATTTTCCTTCAAGGCTTCCATTCCCACTTGACCAAAAGTGCCCCTTTCTGCCCTTGAACTATAAATCAGAAGTAGGTATAGGCAATGCAGTTGCCAGTCTCATCCTGTGTCCAGTGCTCTTTCTGACCAGTTGCCAAGTCCCCTTACTCTCTCTGTCTTGAGTTCCTGAAGCTACGGCTGCAGTTTGAGGCATTATTAACGTTGTTTGGAGGGGAATGTTGGGAAAGCTCCACTCAACCATCTAGACTCTACCTCTGGAAGTCTCTCTGATCACTCTCCTATAAGACAGCATTATCACCATGAAGTCTTCTTTACTCCAATTACTAAATGCTGACAAGCTACTCTTGGTTTCTCCTAGTTTATTATGTCTTTCCCAACTTCCATCATTTAGCTTTCAATTTGTTTTAGTAGATTCAGAACACTTCTGAAAGGGGTTGCAGATATATCACTGTATCCACCTTCAATGTTTCTAATTTACTACTCTGGACCTCACCCTTAGGATGTATGATTAAATCTGGCTTCTTAAGTGGCAAGACCCTATTTGTCTAATAGAATAAAACATGAGTTAAACAAAGCAACACAGATTTCTTCAAAAAGAGTATTAAATAGTACCTCATTGTATTTAAAGAGTTTTTCTTTTCCTCAAATAGCTATATTCTTTTGCTATATTTTTACAGCATTATATGAAGTTAGCTACCACAGAATTCATATCCTAGTTTCATTTCCTAACAACAGAAGTATGAAATATACAATATTACTTACCTTTGTGGAGGAGGGACACTGGGTGACCATGACCTAGTTCTTCCTATGCTATCTACTCGGTGAGGGGACACAGACTGTGAACAATGATTTGATGACATCACTTGTTCTGGCACTGACAATGTTGAACTCTGAAGGTCTCTTCCATTGTGTCGATAATCTACAGAGCACAAATATTGAGGTTCAAGTCATTTACAGACTTTTTAAAAATTGTCTTGCTTTAAACAACATATGCTTAAATTATACTTTTAGAGGGAATATATGAAAAATAGGTAAGCAATTATCATATGTGAAAAACCTTAGTGAGTAACATAAACTGTGACATTTTTATATTATCTGGCTCTTCAAATTTATCTAGAACTTCATTGAACACTTATAATATATTAACCACTGTGTTAGATTCAATGGAGGTTTACAAATAATAAAACTTAATCTCTTCCCTTCACACCCTGACAGTCTTGCAATTCAACTGAATTCCATTCAACAAATGTTTATCCAGTACAAAGTATGAAGCACTGAACTAGCTTCTGGGGATTCAAAGGAAAAACAAAACAATCCTTAGGTCTTACATTCTATTGGGCATGTACAACCTGTGTTCAAATAATTAAGTACAAAGTATTTATGAAGAAATACAAAATGATTTAAAGAGGGAGAGAATGCTAAGAACTAAGGGAAAGAAAGGAATTAGTAAAAGCTCAGGCACCTAAGCAGTACATTGAGCAAAACCAGGAATTTGATGAAACAGAGGTGAGAAGGGTGTATATTCTAGATATGGGAAATCTACTGTGCAAAGGCACAGAATAGAAAATGGAATCTCCTGTTTGGTTAAGCAGCAGAACTGTTTGACTGGAATGGTGTACAGAAAGAGGAAAGATAAATGATACAGAGATTGTTGAGGGCTTTAATTTGGGGGTTGATGATTTTATATTTTATCCTAGAGACAATAGAGAACCAACAAAGATTCCTTAGTGAACATAATATGGACAAAGCTGTGTTTTAAGAATGTCAGCCAGCAATTCTGTGAAAGACAAACTAGAGAAGAGAAAGGCACGAGACCACTTCAGAAGTTATCACAAAATTCCAGGTAAGAAGTGATAAGATAACAAATTAGGATAGAGATTATGCAAATGGAATAAGAAGAAAGATACAAGAGATGTTGTGGAAGTAGGATAAGTAAAAGTAGGCATTTTTATGCAGTACTGAGATAGAGGAAAGAGACAAAAAATGACTGAGAAGTTGTACACTTAGGTGACCAGAATGATTGTGGTAACATCAATAACAATGAGAAATTTGTAGGATTAATTAGTTTGGAGAAAGCCATAATGAATTCTATTTTGAAAATGTTGCATTTGAGATTCCTATAAGATATTCTGGTGGATACGTCTAGCAAGCAGAGGGTAATATAGTACTGGAATTCACTATAAAAAGATCTGGAAGTCATATATATATATATATACAGAAAACAAGTGAACTTTTGGAAACTGATATCACCAAGGATAAAGTTCATATGAGTTAACATATTTAAAGCTCTTCACAAACCTTAAAATCTTACATAAATGCTATCTTTTGATATTATTCTTAATGATAATAAAGATAAGAGGCCTCAGAACAGAACCTTTGTGGAAAAAAAAATCTCACCTTTGTGGATACTAGCACCTCCTAGGAGGGAGGAGAAGATAAAGAATGGTCAGAAAGGTAGAAAGAAAATCGAGAAAACAGTTGGAAAGAAGCTGAGAAAATATCCACGAAACAGGAAACAAAATAGATCCAAAATAGACAAAACTATGTATTTCAGAAAAGGAAGCCATAAATCATATGAATATATGCTATACATACTATAAATCATAGCCTGGTAGAGCCCCATTTATTCAAAACTGATTTCTTTCTTAAAAGAGAGAGCCAATTCCACTGGCCCTCATGTCTGGCATAGTGATTAATGGAGAAAGTACAATATATTCTCTAATCCTTAAAAGGACAGAACAATGGGTAAGGAGATTCCAGCATATAAACTGACTAGCTGGAAAAAGTAGGCAGGACTTAAATATGGTCTTCTCGGGGCTCCTTTCAAAGGGCCCTCTATTCTCATTTCTCTCTTCTGGTGCCCTTCCTGGACAATTCTTAACCTTTTTTGCTGGTAGCTGACTAGAAAGTCCTGCTAGGCCCAGGACAGGTACCAATTAGTAATCCAATTCTTTTCAGGAATGCTCTGTGTGTCTTGTATATTTTAAGTGATTTAAAAACTTTATTCTTAACTTACACAAGTAATTTTTTTTTATAAATGTGCATGTTTGTTACTAAGCTAGAAATATTCCCAAAGGTTTAGGTGATTTCTGCTTCGTATTAATTACTTCTTTTGAGTAAAATTGTCTATTTATTTAACAAGATTCAATTCACCAATTATTCTATTACTTGCTGACAAAAGGTCCCAAGGTAAAAAGAACCCTGACATCTTCAGAAATTTGGTAGAGAAAATGGCAACACTTTTAACAGATCTTCTGGAGTTAATAGATACATTTGTAACAACAGATAGAATTTAAACATAAGGTCATGATGGGGTATATATTCCAGCCTTATGGAATGAATGAAAGATAAACATAGAAAAGCAGAATAAGATGTGAGGAGGAAGGCAGAAGGAAAATAACCAATGTTTTTCACCATTGGAACTGTATAGGCAGTGTTATAGATTTTAGATATAGAGGATACTGATTCTCTAGTTCTAAAACAAAAGAAAAGGAATTCTTTCTAGAAAAGGAATGATTCCAGGAGAGGTTAAGAGAAGACAAAATCAAGGGTGCATACAGAAAGAGTTACACTGAGACAGAAAGTCCTCTTCATCTGATGAACAAAAGGAAAAGCTCCATGAAGATACAGTGAGTCTCAGAAAGGGCATCCATTTTGGATAAGAAAAAGACCACAGGAATAAAGAATTCAGAGATAAAAGCTATTTCAGTAAGTCATACCTGAACACAAATCTCCAAGTGCCCAAAAAGTCCTGTCCAGCTTTTGCTTGAAGCTCTCCAAAGAGTGGAACCCAATGAACCCAAGGTGATTGGATGTCTCTAATTATCAGGAACATCTATGTAATATCAAGCTTAAATCTATCTCTTTGCGACATCTCTTCATTGTTCCTACTTCTATACTCTGAGATCAACCAAAGTCTAATCATGACTATAAATGAAAATCATTCAAACACTTGAAGACAGTAAATAATGTTCCCCCTAAGCATTATATTCTCAAGTTGAAAAATCTCAATTTCCTTCAACCTATCTTCTCATAGTGTGGTCTCTAAGCCCTTGACAAATTTAGCTACCTTCTCCTCTGGAAAGTATCCAATTTATCAATGTTCTACCTAACTGTAACCCCCTCCTCCACCCAGAAATGAAAACAACACTCTAGATGTGGTTTAACTAGGAACATTTCAATTTCCTTTCTCTGCTAGGTTTTTCTATAACATTTTACATGAGTTTTACTTTCCTTTATTTTTATTGCTGTTTTATTTTATTTGATACATTTCTTGCTGTTTTGAGGTGATAGAAATGGAGGTGGCAGTAGAAACAATCCCTAACATCTTACTAAAAGTTCTGTCACCTCGAGTTCTTGAAAGCTATGCCAGTAGAGCACAAATCTGTTAGGCCCTAGAACACTAGAAAACATTTAAGTTAATCTTGACAATATAATGTTATATCTGTCATTTTAGGGTTACTGTAGCTAAATACAGAGAGGTTGCTTACCATAAAATAAATTATTTAAGTACCACAACTCATGAAGAATAAATAAAAGCAAGGAAGAGGTTGTGATCTGCCTTGGTGGAATGATTACTCACACTGATGGATTTGTAGATCCCTGAATTATTAAAATTTATTTTACCTAACTGTCTAAACTTATTTATTTATGGATTTGTGTGTATATATATATATATATATATATATATATATATATATATATATATATATATACACACACACACACATATGTGTGTATATATACATGTATGTATATATACACATATATGTGTGTATATGTATGCATGTATACATATGTGTATATATGTGTATAATTTTCTGAAGGCACTCCATTAAATAAAATCAGCATGACTATAACCATAAACACTCTGAACAGTAGGTTTCCTTAAGGTAGCCAAATGTCATAACAGTTTTGTTAGACTTTATTTCATATTGGTGACTCATTAAATTTGCAATCTATTAAAATATCCACATATTTTTTCATATAACCGGTATTTATATAGTACTGCTGAGGTTACATAATACTTTTTTTGTGTACATTACTTCATTTGAGCCTCATTTTTTTACCCTTAAACATAGGTACTACAGTATTAGTATCTCCATTTTATAGATAAGGAAATAGAAAATTCAGAGATGTTAAATGTCTTATCTATGTTGATATGGATAAATAGTATAGGCAAAATTTGAACCCAGGTTCTCCACACTCCAAATTAAATACTCTGTCTCCTACAGCACACTATTTCTCCAATGTAACTGTCACAAAAGGTAATGTCTAGCCATATCTACTCTCTCCTGTATTTATGAAGTTAATTTAAAAAATTAAATATAAGACACCACACTTCTTTCTCCTAAATTTAAACTTACCAAATTTGGTCTATCAGCCTAGCCTAGGAAAGGTTTGGTTTTTTTTTTCACCCCATCTCTATCATCTAAACTATTCTTTCTACCTTTATGGTATCTGTGACTCTGATAAGATGACTTCTATGCTTTCATCCAATTTACTGATAAAAATGTTAAGGAGAATCTAAGGCATCATAACTAGTACACACCCGAAGAGAAATTTCTTCATTTGGTTGAACTCAAGTTAGTCAAAGCTAAAAGTACTAATAATAGAAACAGTTCTAAATGATACTCTGAATTTCAGCACAAAGAATCTGGACACTTGCAGCTAAATGTCCACATGTCTAAATGTGCTTTCTGAATCTGGGCTGAAAAACATACACATAAGTATTGATATGTTTATGGGTAAGGACAAAAATCACTTGGAATGATGACAAGATTTAACTGACTTCACTTTTGAAATTTCTTAATACCCTATTATGGAAGTATAGTTTTCTAGAGAAATACAATAATGTTTTAATTTTTCTGTATATTTTGCAGTAAGTTGTTTGTGAACTATTCAGCAAATAACATTTTAAGATTTCCTCACAGGGATTTAGAAATCAATAGTGATTTATACAAGTTTCATCTCACAGTATAATCTATAAATTTTTTTACCTGACACTACACCGATTCCATCATCACAGTCATAGTCAGAGACTTCACTGTCACTTATTCGCTTAGACCCTGTGAGGAAGAAAATAAGTACAAATTGTTCATTTACATTAAAAAAAACTTCTACTTCACCACACATCAAATCCAAAATGGAAGTAATCTAAATTGTGTATTCGTGGATGAAAAAAAATACAAGAAAGCCACTGTGAAGTTGCAAAGACTGATGTTCTCACAAATGTGGGGGGAAATCACAAGTAACATAACTATTGGTCAATTCAAAAAGATAATGATTCAAAATGTATTGAAACTTGTGATATTATGAAGTACAACTACATGTATAAAATATACATAACCTGTAGTTTATATTTGAAAATCAATTAGATTAGGCAAAAATTAAATTTGGCTATTTTGAAATAAAAGCTTCTCCATGTAATCAATTTTTCACTCTTTTCCCTTTTCATAAGGAGTTGTATAAGGAACTGCCTAGGTAGAAACTCATTCCACCAATGCAGAGCAGTAAAATATTTGTTCCTTTTAACCTGAGAGATGTGTGGGGGTACTGAGAGATTAAGTGACTTGTACATGATTAGCTGGCATGCAGGGCTTGAATGAATGTGTTCCTAGCCACCTCTATCCATCCCATTGCCTCTCACAGTCAAAGTAAACACCAAAAAAACACTGGTATACTTTTAAATGTTTTAATTTGTATATTCGTGACCAACATGCATGACACACAAATTATCAGTTGAATATAGTAAACTCTTTATTATGTATCTTAATTGAGAAACACTATAATTGAGTCAAATGGCTTCTAATACTTAGATATACAAAACCTCCCCTTTTACTAGATAATTTCTATCTATTAATCTGTATAAGATATGCTAAAAGGTAACATCTGACTTTTATTTCAATTTTATTACTTCTCCATTCACTTATTCTCCCCATTAAAGGAAATTATAATGGATATTATAGGGCTCAAAGTTTGTTAAGTATCAATAGAAACAAAAAAGATAAGCAGAAGACATGAATAACTTACAAATTAAACCTATCTCCAAAAGTAAATAAATAAACAAAGCAACAACCAAAAAGAAAAAGAAAAAAAAAACCACCTGTGTCTGAATTTAAATGAGTTACGCTAAATAGATAACATTTCCTAAGTGTACAAAGATATAGAAGCAACCATTATTAAGGCTCAAAAGCACAAAATGTATCACTCTCCTTTATAAAAAGAATTTTTGAAAATAGTTTTAAAGTGTATTAATGCTATTCTGACAAGCATAGCACCTAAATAAAACAACTAGAACTTAGGTAAATAAAGCAGACTTCGACTACAAACTTGATTCTAAAATGTAAATCAGATATATATGTAGACACTACATTAAAATGCTTTTGTATTCCTATTTCCATTTATCTTTAGTGTCTGAAAAATAACTACATTGTAAAGCATGGATTTGCTTGATTATGTAAATACTATTTTCCCTTTTGTCACTCAATATCTGACATCAAAATGTAGAGTTCATAGATCAAAGGATTACAGATTTAGAGTTGGAATGGATTTTAGATGACATCTAGCCCAAACACTTCATTTTCCAGATGAGGAAAAATGAAAAGTCCACAGAGGTGAGATGCCTTGCCCAAAGTTACCCAGATAGTAAGCCACAAAGCCAAGATACAACCATAACTTGATTCCAAATACCAATTCACCTTCTACACTACTGTGTTACAGAACTTTAACATTATGCCATAGCACTTAGAATGGGTTGACATGATGTTGCCACTTTAAAAAATGTTTAAAGTGCCAAAATGGCACCTGGGAATCCACTAAATATGCTGATAAGATCCTAGTTTAAAAAAAAAAACAACCTAATTCCTCTAGTTTGTCAATCAACAGCCTTCTACCTTCTTGTTTTAATGAAACCGTATTATCCTTTGAGTACACTCTATCCCCTGCAAAACTCTCCCCTGGCAGCCACTCTTCTTACTCCTTCCAAATCAAGTGGTCAGGAGGATGGATTGGCATACCCTTTACTACTCACTCTTTCTTCAAGATAATTCTTCTACCAACCTTGTTTAATAATTTCCTTTGAGCCCACCCTAGATACAACTCTTGCCCCAACATTATTGTTATCTATCAACATCTATGTCTTTCAATATTTTCAATGATTTCATGACCTGACTTACTCTCTGCTTCTTCACTCCATCCTCTGCCACAGCCAGGGACTTTAAAATTCATATTGAAGTCCACTCCACAATCTAGACTTCTCAACTCCTTATTTGTTCATGTCCAAACACTTCTTTCTCCTTTAATTATACATGGCACTATCAAACCATAGACTTTACCATCTCCAGGAACTGTACTGCTTCTAGAATTCAGAACTCAGAACTAAACCATAACCTCTTACCAAAGGAAAGAGTGCTAGATTTGGAGTAAGTGAATATAGGATTAAATCCTAGCTATCACTTATTAGCTATGTAATCTTAGCCAAATCATTTAACATGTACTGTTTCCTCATACACGAAACAAAGGAATTGGACAAGATGATTTCTAAGTTAATTCTCTATGTCTAAGATTTTATGATCTTTCCATCTGTTCCATTCTCTCACACTTACCTTTCACCCTTACTGTGACCTCTGGTCTCATGACCTATCATTTTTCCATTCTATCTCCCCAATGTTGGCTTCATGTGCCCCATGCTCAGCCATAACTCTGTGGTCTGCCACGTTAATGTTTCACTAGCTACTAATATGAAAATCCTTGCCCTCCTGTATTTTGCCATTCTTTGTCTTCAAATCTTCATCCCTGGGTAGTTTCCTTACCACTTTCTTTCCAGGCTACTAAATGTTACTGGCAAAAGTGACAAAACTGAGCTGCCTTAACTGACTGAAAATTTATGTCACATAACCACAGATGGGTTCTTGCTTCTACTTAATAGTCAACTTAGTTACTGCTGACTTTCTATCTCATTTACCATAGGATCTCTTCTGAATCTTCACTTTGCTCTCCTCAACAGGATACAAGTCCCACATATAACAAATAATTAGCCCTCTGTTTGAAAGAAGCCTGAGGTGACTTGAAATGAGTTCTATAAGTTTCATACACACACTACTCAATTTTTCACAATTCTTAGTACCATCACATAATTTCCCCTTCTTTCCTCTGGTCACAGAAGTATACTTGCTCCTCATAACAGCTAGTCTACTCTATATCTGGGATCCCATTGCATCCTAGCTACTTTTCTATCTAATTCCATCAGTAATCACCTCTTTCATACATATATATTCAATCTTTCCCTCTTTACTGGCATTTTCTCCTCTCTTTTTCTAAAAAAAAAATGCTCAGCTCTCCTCAATCAGAAAAAAAAAGCTTTCCTTTAACCCCTGTATCCCAACTATCTACCACCTTATCCTTCTCTTTCCCCTACAGTTAGACTTCTTAATAAAGTGTACTATATTAAAAATGGTCATCACTTTGTCACTACTTGTTCTGTCTCCATCTCTCTCTCTCTCTCTCTCTCTCTCTCTCTCTCTCTCTCTCTCTCTCTCTCTTTCTCTCTCTCTCTCTCTCTCTCTCTCATATATATATATATATATATATATATATATATATATATATATATATATATATATACTGAAACTGCTCTCTCAAAGGTCTTAATGATTGCCTAATCAACAAAAGCCTTGGTCTTTTTTCAGTACTGCTTGACCTTCCTGCAATTTTTCAATGATGATTATTCCCTATGACTCTCCTCTCCTGACTTCATCATTATTATCCTCTTTTGGTTCTTTACTTCTTTCTCCTTTGATGGCCACTCATTCTCTAATCAATCCCTTAATGTGAGTGTTCCTCAAGCATCTAGTTATTGGTTGTTCTCTATACTCTCTTCATTAACAAACTAATTTAATTTCATTACTTCAATCAATATTTTTCTATTTGGTTGACTCTTAGATTTTAATTTACAGCCTTGCTTTTTTTTAATTATCGAAAGACATCTCTAGGTCCCTGCCTTCAAGACAGCTCTTCTTGGTTTTATCCAACAGCTCAAATTCAACAGGTCTATACATGAGTTTACTGTCATTTCTCCTAAATCTGTTCCTCCTTCTTACCTCACAATTTCAATCTATGGCACTGAAACTCAGATTGTCTCTAATGTTCACACCTGTGTACTCTTTGACTCTCCTTTCACCTCTCATATTCAAGCAATTAGTAAGTCCTGTGAATTCTACCTCTGTAATAACTTTTGCATCTGGCCCTTCCTTTCTGTTCCACCCTAGTATAGGCTTGCATTACCACTTACCAGGACAATTCCAACGAGCATTTGATACATCTTTCAGAATTGCCTTCTCCACCTCTTAATCTGCCTTCTATACTGTTACAATTTTTTTCTTATGAACAAATATGGCTATGCCACTGCTGCCCAAGACTCTTCAGAGCTTCCTTCTTTACTAAAATAAAGTAAAAATGTCTGTGCTTGGGAATTCAAGGATTTTCATAGTCTGGTACTAGACTACTTTTCCAATCTTACCTCACTTTACTCATTTCCACAGACTCTATTCTAGTCAAACTAGACTTTCTTTGCCAAATATGAATAGCATTCTCTTGCCTTCATTGCTGTGCTCATGCTATTCCTTATACCTCCAATATTCTTTCTCCCCTTCTATGTCTGCTGAAATCCTACATATTCCATGTCTCCCTCCTGCTCAAAATCTTCAATGGCTGTCTGTAACCACTAAAACAAAGTCCTAAGCCTGGCCTTTCACAACCTGACTTTCAGAATTATTTTGTATTACTGATTATATACTCTAAATTCCAGCCAAACATAACTGTTCCTACACTTTGCACATTCCACTTCTCATCCCATTTCCCATGCTCTTATATGTTATCCCATTTGGAATTTATTTCTATATCACCTTCACCTCTTAGAATCCTTAGTTCTCTTTAATGATGTTCTATCTCATATCAAAAGCTTTTTTTGAAGTCGTATGCCCCAAGCAGGGGAGGACCATGTTCATCTTTTTTCTCTGAATTCCTACCCCCTAAGTTGTGGCCTTTTCACTGAGTAGGTATTTGATAA